GCACTTCCTCAACCCTTACTTCAGGGTCAGCTTGTGGAGACCATTTCCGAATGTGGCTTCCCTATATCCTTCTTCAGCCATGCTGGCTAGCACTGTCCTGCTCCTCCAAGCTCACAGCAATGGATGCCTCACAGGTACATCTTGTGCAGGCATCTTGCCTCTTGTTTTCACAAGGACACTGTGTCCTTTAAACACAGCAATGGTGTTTTAAGTTCCCTATAACCTTTTGTACAAGATGAGATACAAAGCTTGACCTCGAGACTTACTGACTGGGACTTGAAGTCACACAGCCCTATTTGTCGCATATGAATGATGCAGCAACACACAACAATGAGCTTCAGAAAGGCCAAGTTAAGGTGGCCATCTGAGTCATGCCTTGATTCAGAATGTCGCTGTGATAGGATTCCTCAAGTAAAATGGAGTCATAGAGCCTTCAAAAAACTCCAGCATCTGTAATTTCTCCTACCTCTTCCGTGCTCTCCCCCATTTCCCAGTTTCCTTTCTTGGTGTTTGTTCCTAAATCCTGTTCGCAGACTGCCATCTCTACTAGCATAAGGTCTCAACAGGGATGTTTGTGTCTCTAGAGGATGGCAGAATTCCAGGGGGAAGGGAAACCCAGAACAACACTCTTTTTTTATAAAGGCTCAGCATTTTTTAAAGAATGTGTGTGTATCATTTCATCATGCTATTGGCTTCACCCACCGCTTATGAAATGGATGAAGCAGGGAGTTTGTTGTCTTTCCTCTACAGATGAGGTGCCTGGTGTCCAAAACAGAGCTGAGAACCGCATCCAAGCCCGCACCTGCTGGGGAAACTTACAAGTCTTTGGCTTTGGGGGAAAAGAATCATCAATGGAACAGATCGAGAGCTGTGAAGTTGAGATGGGAACAAGGCACCTGGCCTTATAGCCCCGATGAAGGACCAGAAACTACTGGAGAAAATCTAAACAAAGGTAGATTAAGGTATATTCATTTAGTACCTATCAATTCCAGACACTTCAACATAGCCCTATAAAGAAGGCACTATTAGCCCCCATTTTACAGATGAACAAACTTCAAGGGTCAGGGATGAGTAGAGGTCACAATCTAGAAGTCAATAAATAAACATATATTCTGGAGCTCCTGTATATGACAGGCACTGTACAGAGTGCTGGATACACTTACTGATTTTAGCAGCATCCATTTGCAGAGTAGGGAGGTAGTGTGATCTCCATCAGTAGATGTGGAAACCAAGTCTTGTTAGCAATAGCCTACTGCCAATCATCTTGTAGATAACAAGAGCTAGAAAAGGGAATTAAAGATCAAGCCTAACCCCCTCACAGACAAGGGAAGAGTTGAGCTGCAGACAGGTGGTGGTACAAGATGGGCACTGGGAGAGGGGCATGGCGATTGGGGTAAAAGTACTTGCGGATGACGGGAGGGACTAAACAGCTCCGTCCTGGATGGTTTCAAGGGGACGAAAATGCCCCTTTTCACTTTGCCTCGGCTCAGAGGCAGCTCCAGCAATAGCTGTCTCTTCACCTTCGGGGATGATGCTGAGCATGCCAGAGGGTTACAGAAAAAGGAATCAAACAGTCAAATCTCCTGGCCTGAGAGACCCCACGGCGTTCACTGATGATTTCAGGAATAGGGGCCAAGAGCAAAGCAGAAAGCTTTGGGAAGATAGCATCTTTACATGTAATGGAAGTTTCCAAAGCTTTCTCAGTATTTCTTTCCCAATGTAGTACATCGCCTTGGGGAAGAGAAACACAGAAGACTTGGAGGAGACGTTCTTAGTATTTGAATTTTCAAAGTCTGGTAGGAGGAGATGTCAAGTCTGTGTGTGGACCTCAGACTGGAGCAGCAACAGAAATACTGCCCAAGTTTCTGAAGACTGAGAAAGGAAAAAGTCAGAGTGAGACTGGGAGGGGGAGTGGGTTCCTGAGACAGAAAAACAGTTAGCCCTGGGCCTAACTCAACAACCTGGAGTGGCCGGGCAGTGGTGGTGCATGCCTTTAATCCCAGCACTCGGGAGGCAGAGGCGGGTGGATCTCTGCGATCTACAAGAGCTAGTTCCAGAACAGGCTCCAAAACAAAACAAAACCAACCTGGAGTGTACAAAGCCCTCCGACAGGAATAGGAGATCAGAGAGCACTGACAGCTCCCACTCTTTCCCTGAAAGTTCCCATTCCTTCTCCCACCAAGAAATCCTGTCCCAGTGCTCCCAGCGAGTGGGTAGGCGTTCCCAGTGCATGGGTAGGCGTTCCCAGTACGTGGGTAGGCGCTCCCAGCAGGTGGGTAGGCGCTCCCAGCGTGTAGATAGATGCTCCCAGTGCATGGATAACACTCCCAGTAGATTCCTTCTCTGGACATCTGGAGGTCACAAATATGTCTCTAATGATATGAATTTTCTAGGTGTTCCATAAAAACAGAATCATTCCATACATGCCTTTATGGCTGGCTTCGTCACTTACCTAAAGATTTCAAGAACCATACTCATATATGGTTACCTCATTCCTTTTTAGAGTTGATTAATATTCTCTCATATGACTATACAAATTTTCATTTATCTAGTTATCAGTTAATAGACATGGCATTGTTTTACTTTGAGGCTATAAAAATTATACTACGACAAGTATACACATACAACTTTTGTGTGGATATATAGATTTCCTTCTTTTTGTATATACCTAGAAGTGGAATTTCCAGGTAGTCCTATGTTTAAGTTTATGAGGAAACAACAAGACCCGTTTCCATGAAAGGCTAGACTAGAGCGATGATTTGAACAGTCCCATGGGAGGAACCATGCCCCAGTGACCAAGGAAGCATCATAAACACTATGATCCTTGTGTTCTGAATGACAGATGAGTCAGAAGACAGAGAGAAAGTCAACAGTACTCAGCAGCAAGCTGGAAGAGTGAATAGCTGTATAGCCAGTCGGCAGCTTCCAGGGCAAGGCAGGCGTTCCCTGTGTTTAGCTTTTACCAAGGAAAGGTTTCAGACTCAGTAAAATTGAGTTTCCCTTTCTAGCAGAATGGGAATCTACTCTAGAAATTGAATTGATAAGATTCCATTTCATGCACACCTACATTTGTGAGTAGACCCACTACAAACTTCACAGCGTGAAAACAGCACACTGGGGACCAGAGAATCGAAAGGAAAAATTTTAAAACTACTCACAAGCCAGGTCTCTTGGGTACACATTCAAAATGGAAGATCACAGACAAGCAGGCAAAGACTGGAGCTGGGAAGGTGCCTAGTGGATGCTGAAGTCCACACGCCTTCCAGGGGCCACCTGGGCCCACTGTAGTTCATTTCTGGATCCCTCCTATCACCCTCCATTCCATCCCTCGGGACTGCTTGTTCACCCGACACCATGAGGTGTGTTCAAATCGCCATGCCTTTCTTTGCCTATGCTGTTCTTTCTGCCTTCTTCCCTCACACACACAAAACATCATACATGGAGACCAAGTGCAGATGTCACTTCCTTCAGTGAGTTGTTTACGGACCTCTAGAGGAGTTCAGCCGTCCAGTAGCTTTGTTCTCTTGGGGCTGCGCACTTTGTATCATCCTTATCTGTTAATATATCACTATCTTTTGCCACAATTCCAGCTCTAGGGCACCCTCTAATTTGATTGCTTCTCGTGCGTTTAACCCAGAGTTCATGTTCCACAAATATCCGTTGAGTGAATTACCTAGGTCAACCATCTATTATGTAAACAGGGGGCTGAGGTCAGGAGAAGCAGAGCTGCATTCAGGATCCCAGCAGTTGAGGGCAGCGAAGCCAGCACTCAAACCTAGCGCATTCAGGACACTTTCAAGGGACAGGCAGAAGCTGCAGCTGAGTAAACTATCTAACGTCATGTAAAATTCCTGCTGGTCCCACACTGCTCCCCAAGTTTCTGATAAGAGGAAGATCGTGTCACAAGTGAGGAACATCTCTGCCATGTGCATTAGACTGGTATTTGAAGGAAAGACATATGGAGGAAATGTTACGAGGACATTATGTAGCGAGCTGGTGTGCTTCTGAGGGAGGGCAGTTTATAGCCGTCTGCTTTACGTTGACATGAAATGATAATCCATTATGAATAAATCGAACCTAATACACAGCTCTGTCTGTGATGACCAAGTTCCCCTCTCCCTCACCAACATTCCTCCTGTGAAAGAAAATGTTCACACTGAACACATTTCCAAAGCAGCAAGATTTTCTTAGAAATCCCTATGGCAGGATAAGCTTCACGTTCTTTCGTTCATTGCATCACCAGACCGTAAGAAATCTCTTTCTAGTATCTTTCTAGTATCTACAGTAAACCCCTCCTGTAACCTTGGGAGGTCTCGTGAGCTTCAGAGCAGCTGAGATTTCATGACATACATTTTAAAATGTCCCTTTCTGTGACGTGATGGAAGCCATTACTATACTCGATGCTGCAATTTCCAGCAAAACAAAGCAAACTGTGTAGACTACACCAGTAGTGTACACTTCTAAGGACCCGTCTAAACCTCCAGAAACAATACTTGTCAAGGAACAAGAGTAGGAGGTAGAACCAAAGTGCCCCAAACCAGAGAGAGGCCCCTGTCAGTCTTGTCCTCTCGACAGTTTGGAGAGCTGCCCCATTCTCTGGTCTGCACTGATGGCCAGAGCTCACTGCTCTGAAGGCCTTCTCACGTCCTCTCTACTCTTCTACCTCCATCCTCCTTCCTCCCTTCCATCCCTTCCATTCTGCAGATGACCAGACTGCTCTCTTTATGACACAGAGAACCCTTCACCAGCAAATCTCTCCCCCTCCATTTCACGGCAGCTGTGAACATCTGCTCCACCGCCACCGGCTTCTCCACTCACCCTGACTAGGCAGTGATAAAATATCCCTCAGAGGAACTGAATGAACCTCCCTGTCACACACTCCCATGATTCCAAGAGTCAACAATTTAGAGATGGCATCTATCAGGGTGGACCCTCGTGTCCAGGGAGCTGGTCAATCATTACATCTGGATATCAATGCCATTCCATCATTCAGGGCTCACCTATGTAACTTTGCAGGAAAATCCAAAGCCCTTCCGTTAGCCTTTGGTTGAACTGAGATTTCCCAAAGAGGAAAGAGGAGGTGTTCTTCTGGTAACACACAGGCAATCCTGTCCATGAATTACCACCATCAACTGAGTAACTAGGATCACAGGGGTGCCTAGCAACACCCTTCATCTCAAAACAAGAAACAAAAATGGGGAAACGGAGACAGCACAGGCAAGGAGCCCAAAATCGAGCTGGCGGAAGAGCCAGCTCTGCTCATCAGGTAGGCTGAGAAGAATCAGATTTATTTATCTGCCTCAGTTTATGTATGCAAAGATGAGAATAAAATACAATCTGGACATAAAAGATGCTTCAAGTCTGAATGTGGTGGCACACACACACACACACACACACACACACAGAGTCTTTGGGATGTGGAAACATGAGGGTGAGTTCAAGATCAGGCTCAGTGCTACAGCAAGGCCAGCCTGGGCTACATCTAACCCTGTCTCTGACAAAAACAAATGAAAGGAGAAGAGGAGGGAGGGAGGAAGGGAGGGAGGGAGGGAGGGAGGGAGGGAGGGAGGGAGGGAGGGAGGGAGGAAGAGAAAGAGATGATACCCCCAGAGTGCCCATCTGATGAATCCTGTACCTAGTTAGCAATCATAAGCTTGTATTCATTCCTGGGGGGTCTGCAGCCATAAAAGAAGTGCCAGCTTCATCTACAGGAATAAAGTTGACAGCCAGGCTTTCCAGACATGCCCCAGACCAGTTCTGCACAGCTGAGCCCTTGGGGTTAATCCAACAACAAGAGTAGAGACTCCCTCCCAGCAGTGGGTAGGTGAGGACCCAGCAGGTGTAAGGGAGGAGGGGGAACAGCTTCAATGGAAGCAATCACACGTGCTGCTAAAGAGCCAGGACCAGGAAGCCTGAGAGAGGGCAGCTCCAATTATTGGTAAAATAATCAGAAATAAACAGTCGCTTGCCCAAGTACAACTTCTCCATACCCTCTAGCTGAGCCTCTTTGCTGCCCTGATTATATTTAGAACCAATTTGAGCAACCAGGTTATTTTGTCCATTGGAGCCAAACAATGCAGTAAGCACTCCTACCAGAGCTTAAGAGGAAGGGAAACAAGTGTGGAGAAGCTAACCTCCCCCCGTGGCAATCCCAGGCAGAGGAAACCCCCCAGGATGCGGCAGGAGCCACCATGGTGGGAGCACACACAAGCGGAGAGCTTAGAACCGCTCCCCACCCCCAAACTCCCACCCTGGCTATTGCTCAGTGGATTTTCAACAAGGTGAGGCCCTGGGCCTAGAGACTTTCAGTGAAGACCTGGGTCTGTTTTCTCAGCAAGGCCTGGTGGCAAGCTGGGCAGATAGCAGCATGCATGTCTTCTAGGGACAGCAGGATTCTAGGCTGAAACCAAGCTGATAAGGGACTAAAGTAAGCTGAGATTCTCTCATGCACCTTGCTGTCCCAAACCCCAGGCATAAGACTATACACTAAAGTAGAAGGTGGCTAGCATGGTTATATATACAGCCAAACGGGGGATATATACCTACTATTATCTCACGGTCTTCCAGACACACAACTGAAGGCAAGAGTGAGGGTACAAAGTATTTGGAAGAAGTCTTGCCATTCTCCTGTGTCCTCATCCTTCCTAGAAGTTCAGAGAAAATTAACTCTCTTCACAGGGTCTCAAGTCACCTGGATCTTCCTGATACATTTGCATGCAAGAGAACACGTCAGCAATTGAGCCAAGACCGCTCACAGATTTCCGGTCCGTCTGCTGCCACTCAGTGCCAAGCGCCCTGGTGGCCTTGGAAACACATACGCAAGCAAGACTTACCCAGACCTGTTTTTGTGTAGCTCACAGGCCAGATGATTGTCTGGGGGAAGCAATGGCCTTGGCCTCAGCAGCAGTCAGCTCAGACTTCTCAGGAGAAGTGCCCAGAAGCTCCCACTACTGTATAGATTATATAATAAGAGCCCATTGCAGGTGGCCGGGGACTGCCTACCAGTACAGGTGCCTCGCTTTGTTCAATAGCTGTGTTCCTGAGAAGTGTGGTGTGGGAGGTATTATTAAATGAGAAAAGTGAGGTTGCAAAAACAAACCTATATGGTGATGTCACCGTTTCAAAAGCTTTGCTTTTGAGACAAAAACTTGCTAGACTTCCTAGGCCGGTCTAAAATCATTGGATCAAGCCTTTCCCAGCTTCCCGTGTAGCTGGGGCTGTAGATGTGGGCCATTGTACCTAGCTTGACGAACTCAGCTTTACAAAACAATGACAAAAATAATTCTGTACATCTCAACATTTTAAGTAGTTCTATGACAGGAAGAGACAAACAACTCATATCAGGTCGTGAACTCGGGGCAGGGGTTCCTCTATGGTATCAGTAAGAATGTAGAAGAAATGTATTGCCAATGGAGAAAGGGGGAAGTGGACCACTTAAGACAACTTGGCATATGTTGTATGAGAGCCTGGATGATAATTTGAAAATGAGTTGTTATTAAAACTGGATTTAATCCCTTTCTGCTCTGCTGCCCAGCCTCAGAGGCACCTGACCTCTGCCTCTGGTGGCTCCACACTTGGCAATGCCTCTTGTCTACTTGGCACTGGCATCTCCAACCATGCAGTTACTGATTTGTGAGCAACCCCGTGAAGACCGGGGCCTGAAGAGAGATGGCTTCGAGGCTAAGCATGCGTACTGCTCTTGCAGAGAGCTCAAGTTTGGTTCCCGGCACCCCTATCAGGAGGTTCACAACTGCCTATGGGACCCAGCACCTTCTTCTGGCCTCCATGGGCGCCCACACATATGTGCACATACCCACACCCAGGCACACACTGAGACCCATAATTAAAAAGTAAATCTTTACAAACGAAAATGAACATTGGATCCAGGGGATGCCCTGGCCTAAGCTCTTACACACTGTCTCACGGAACCCTTTCCAGCGCCCTATGGAGTAGGATCCATCATTTCCCCAGTTTTCTGGTGAAGTAACTAAAGCTTGCAAAGATAAAGATCTCACCCAGGATCACCTAGCGCTTAATACTAGACAAGGCTGGAGATCACCTAGCACTAGTACTAGGCAAGGCTGGAGATCACCTAGCACTAGTACTAGGCAAGGCTGGGGATCACCTAGCACTTGGTATTAGGCAAGGTTGGGGATCACCTAGCAATTGATACTAGGCAAGGTAGGGGATCACCTAGCACTTGGTATTAGGCAAGACTGGGATTTAAACCCAAGTAACCATCTCAAGGCCCCTTCCAACTGAATCACATTGTTGGGCTCTCTCAGGGACCATTCTACTGTGTGACATCTGTTACTTCCTCTGTTTTTCCCACGGCAGCCCCTCTCTGCTGCTTGTCACCAGCAGCTGTCTGAGCTCCGACCTTCCTCAGACTCATCTCCCTACTGGACAGAGCAAAAGCTCTGGCAGCCGTGGCTGGGATCCTGAGCCTTGCCTGGTAGGGCCTGTTTTGATCACTTTTCCCAGGGCTCTGACAAAATGCCTAGAAAGGGCAACTTGATAGAAAGTTATTAGAAGCTTATTTTGGCTCACAGTTTATGGGTGAAGTCCATCCTAATGGGAAGGGTATGGGGACCAGAGGGACCCTCAGCTGTGATGGCAGGAACACAAGGCACCTGGACACACTGAGTCCACACTCAGGAAGCAAGAAGGGAGGGAGGGATGGTCATACTCACCTAGCTTTATATATATTCAGTCTGGGACCCAGGACCCCATTGGATGGAGTGGTGCCACCTACATTAAGGAGGGGTCTTCTCATTTCAGTTAACCCCTTCGGGAAACATTCATAGACACACCCAGAGGTTGTTTCCGTGGTGATTTTGAGCTCCACTGACAATAAAGATGAACCATCCTAAAACCATTCACTGGCTTTTGCTTGGCCAGTCCCGTTTTCTATTTTTCTGTCCTCTCCCTTTTCCCTTTCCCACTGTGGAACTTGGACTCTCAAATGGCATCCCCAAATCTTCATACCCCACCAGAACGTTCTTGGTTCCTAGCCTTCCTGTGTGCCCTCCCCTTTCCCTCCATGTGCATTTGCTTTTGGGGGTGAGATCTGGCAATCACCCCTCACAGTGTAGCCATCCTTGGCACGCAGTGTCTCTTACAGGACAGAGCTATTTGCCATGAGGTGGGACAGAGGCAACAAACTCTATGCATGAAGAATTGAGGTCCTTCTGTCCCAAGGAAAACATCATGGAAGATACTGATTTGGATGCGGCAGACTTCGCAGTGCCCTCCTTTGAACCGACCCTGTTTCTGATTGCTTCATTGCTCGAATACCTCAACACCAGCCCCCTCTGAGCACTCAGTTTAAGAGACCAGCTCCTCCCTGTCATGCCTTGACCTGCCCCAGAGCTTTCTCCGTATCGTTTGTCAACATCTAACAGATGGTATAGCCTGTTTCATATTTGTTTATGTCCTCTCTCCATAACTAGATTATGCCTCTCACTTGGAACATACACAATATGCATTCATTTCATTCACCCAACAATGTCAACAAGCAAATGACAAGAGACTCTGGCTTTATAAATAAGGACAGGGCTATCCTCTGCATTTACTCAATTTGATACAGATATATATATATATATATATATATATATATCGTGTAAATAAATTCAGATTCCAGTTTGTGTCTCCTAGGAAAGTAGCAAACAGCTAAGGAAGTTCACAGGCATTTAGGAGCTCAGAAACATGGCGACTTACAGGTCATATCAAGTAAGTGTTCATTCTAATAGCTGTAGGATCTCTGCAGATTCCTTATAAGCAAATGAAAATGGCCTTTCTCCAACTTCCATCACCACTCTTCTTCACTGGTATACACATTTATTGACACTCATTCTATGGAGAGGTAGCGTTCACCATTTGAATCTATTTGATCATTTGAAATCACTTGGCCAATCAACTACATTGGCAGCTATTTACACTATGCCTATTTCAAGACGCATTGCTCTAATGCCCCCCATCCAAAGGGTCTATACTCGGTTTACCTGTCCCATATCTCCTCCCACTCTATTCCTTACCCATCAGTACACTCACGCCAAACCACTAGTGGGTC